AATCAAACATGGCATCAAGTCCTTCAACCCAGGATGATGAGCAAACACAATTTTGCGAACGTTTCTCGGCGAGTCGCTCTATATTTGACATTTAGTGCATGGGTTGTGGAAATTACTTTCAGTGCGACGTTTTTAATATGTTTATAACTACGCGTCGCAGAATGACTTTGACGTGGATGTCGTCCGACTGATTCACCGCGTTGACCTTTAATCCAGGTCAAATAGTAGGTCACGTCGCGGACGAACAAGGCATTAGATTTTGTTATTGTGCCTCGGATACCGGATGCCTCGCGTAATGGACTCTTCTTCGTGTTCACATACATGTCGGCTTCGAAAAAAAAAGGATTGCCTAATAATGGATTCTTCCATTTTAAAAAATCGAAGATGCAAAAATTCGTTTTGAACTGGAGAAACTTCCTCTACATTCCCCTAATCAAAGTTGATCATTTTACTTATTTTCGAGGTTTATTGCTGCTGTTTCATGATATTAAATCCATCCACTGCGTGTATTTTTATTCCGTCAGGAATTTTAAAAGGAAATTGCAAAGTAATTAAAAATTTACTCATTTCGGAAGTTTTAAGGAGTCTGTAACCAATCAGCCTTTCGGCATACATCAAAATTAATAATACAATTTTCGGTTGAAGTGATTGAAATGGATGAATTCCAATTCAAGCGGATTGAGACGTCCTGTTTTGGCACGTCTAATTTCTGAAAGGTGTTTGCTAAGTAAACCTCCAGTGATTTTCAAAAAAAAAACTCCTTCTTTGATTAAGGTGCCCATATATTCTTCCAGTTTTTGCATCAGACCACATTTGAACTGAATGTAGCGGGTGAAAAACACGAAGATGAATTATGAGGCAAGGATCAAAGGTCCGATGAGAAAATCTCGACCTAGAAGATGTTTATGTATGTACGAAGTAGTTTTCTTCGAAAAGACTCAGATTACTGAATATCTTTCTACCCGAATTAAATTTGTAATTGTAATTGAAGTTGTAATTTTCAAAAATAATTTCAGGTCGTTTATTATTCTGGCTCCTTCGTGACTATTTGAGTGAGCCACAAAAAACAAACCAAAAACAAACGATGGGAAACTTTGCCCGATCAATGTTTTGAGTTGTGTGTTTTCTTTTCTTTTTTACGTTTGTTGTCTCTGGTAATTTTTTTCTGTCTCAATCAATCATTTTTGCTGATTTACTTTTTGGGTTTCTGGGCCTGCAAAATCCAGCAAGAAAGTGCCAGCCAACATTGGAGGAATGTTAAGTTAGGAATTCTTTGCTTTTATTGGCGAAAACCGGACAAAGAAGCAAAAAATGACAAAATGGGACTTGAACAGGAATTATCAGAGAATCAGTATAAATCTTTTTTTTTTACAAATTCTGAAAATCTTCCGTGGAACGCATTAAATTGATCGACCGAGCTCATGGCGAAACCTTCCTGAGCACTATATTGGATGCATCTGTGAAATTGATGGTGAAATTTTCTGGTTAAGGGTTACGATATTTCGGCGCAGTTTCGTGCTGATAACTTGTTGGTGTTTTTTTTCGTAATAGCTAATTTCTCTTATTTTTATATATGCCGAGCAAACGACTGAGATAACGAGACGGGAATGAGGCATCCAGAAACAAGACGAATAAATGTAGTGATGCATAAAGAAATTTGGCACAAAGCAACTTTCTGCGATAACTTTTTGTCACGCGTCGACTCGATAAGATGCCACTGGTTTGTGTAGCGGAAAATCATGACCTCTCCCGGTTTTAGCGACTCTGTGGAGCATTTTGAAAAGACTGCTATGTTTTATTTTTTATTGTTTCTGGTCCGGAATTTTCGTGACCCAAAATCCCCCAGGGGAACAAAGCCTTCAATTCTCAATCCTCGTGTCAATAAAAAGAAGAAAAAAAAAAGACGGGCGCTGTTTTTAAAAGGGAAATCAGAAGTTCTAACGGAAATTTCATTAAATTCCGGTTGCAAATGAGAGTGCCCCGAGAAAAATATTTTCTCTTGAAGAGCTCTTTTCAACTGAGTAGTATTCACTCAATTACATTCCATTAAGATGAGTGTATACCAGGGTCTCTGATGTTTAGAAGGCATTGTTGGGCTCATTTTCTTCATTAGGAAAGCGTGACAAAGGAATGCAATCCCAGAGGGAAGTTAGTTGGGAAAGGGTTGAAAATGCTGCTCGGATAAACTGAGAAATATAAGGTGAATTTCTGAAAGTCCGCGTAAGAAAATGGGTTATCAAGAAGATTCTTTCTCGCGAAATTTTTGTCAGAGTAAATTTAATTTTGGAATTTGCACTCTGTTTTTCAACTACAGTATCTCAATGATACTGATTCAATCATTAACTAAGTTCTTACGTTTCTGTCTTCCTTTTTCAAAGAAAATTGATAAATTGCAAACAAGCAAAAAATGACTGTAACGTCAACCTATTTTTTGAATATTCACAAAGAGCGTTAAGTTGGGCAATCACGTTAAACGACCGACAGGAAATGTCTCGATCTTCTAAGCGATAGTAAAGGATTGCTTCTTTTCTTCTTTTTGTTGTTGTTGTTGTTGAGCAGAGTGGAAATACGAGTGCACCTTTGCTGCTGTGGTTAAATGGTGGACCCGGGACATCATCCCTGCTGGGTGTGCTGGCAGAAACCGGCCCCATCAGGTTCGACCCCGACTCCCTGGAACCCAAACTCGCGGACACGCCGGCCTGGACTGACGACTTCGACGTGCTCTACATCGACCAGCCTGTCGGCACTGGTAAATACAGTATTTAATCTCTCCACGAGTTCCCAGAGTAAATAGGAAAACCAACCCTCAAGACCAGTTTTTGTTTATTTTTTTGCGCGCGGTTTTTAGCATTTATTTTTTTTCTTACGTCAATTGCGAGGTGGAATGATGAAGCTTCTGCTTCCGTTCCCACGCGGAAATGGCGGAAGAGCAGCCGGAGAATTTTCTACTGTTATTCCTCGACGAAACAGCCCAACTGAACATTGCCCAACTGAGCGCGAGGAAACATAACTAAAGAAATTATATTCCCGCGCAAAATGTTTCACAAATTGAGAGTGTGCAAAATCCAAAAAACTCTTCACGTGCACAAGGAGATGAAACTCGCGTCAGCCAGACTTCGATAAAGGATTTTCACAATGCACACACATGGCCGAGGTGTGATGTTAGATTGATAAATTTCAGAGAAGAATGTTGAAAAAACCACTGGCTTTCGGAAAAAAATGAATAAAAATAACCCTGACTGTTTTCATACGTTATGGCTGCACAGAATTACAAAATTGTTTTTCTCCGCAGAAATACGGGTTCTTTTGAACTTTGTAAATTGCGTTATTTAAGACAATAAGCTTCGGTAAATCCTTTGATTCTTTGTATCAATTTGGCAGCAAACAAAAATAGCAATTGTTTGGTGGAATGTTTAATGTGCAAAAGAAAACTCCCACAGATGATGCAAAATTCAAGTCATGCAAAAGCAAATACCAGGATTTGCATTGCATGACAAATTCGTTGAATCTTTGGACTCAGCTAATTCAACCTTCTGAAGTCACGTATTTCAAATGTTTGTCTAAAGTCCCATTTTGGATTCCCTTAAGAACGATTTAATATATGTAGATGTCCTTAACTCGAAGAATTTCCCACTCGAGCCTTTTATTGCTCAACTTTCTGGATGCCTTTGGATTGCTATTCTTGGCATCCAGAATAAAAGAGAAAAAGCAGCAGAACATTTAACTAATTGGTGATTTTCGAAAGGAAGTGAGTGACTAATTGGCGAAAATGTACCCTTGCCTACAACTTCAACATCCTTGTTGCGAATTTTTGAGATGGGTTCAAGGGAAGACAAGTTTTTCAAGGTACAAACTTGTCTTCCCCGCCCTTTGGGATTCCTGGAATTTGGGGAAAACCCCTATGCTTCCTGAAATTTCTGAGGTGGTGCAAACTGACCTATAAGGTTGGTTTCACTGAAAGTTTGTTTCTATATCTTTGTGGCCATCTATGGCCAATTCCCAGTATCTTAGAAGAATAGTTTTCCTGATGCTTTTCAGGAATAGTTTTTTTTTCCTGATTGTTTTCTCTTTCATATTTTTGTCTTTCTGAATCTGAATCTCATGTGTGCTGCTTGAAAGATCCTGCAAAAATTCAAAGTGTCTGATTCTGTTCAGCTGAAGTATATACCAACATTAAAATATGGTAAAATTCACCCCAGTCACAGCCTGACCGAATCATTGAGTTTTATTTTATTAAAAGTAAGTTTTACTTAATTCCCAAAAAGCCTGTCAACTGATTTATTCAGAAAATCAGCAGTTGAAGGCCCATTAAGATCACAAATTTCATCTTCATATAATTTTAACCCCCCCCCCCCCCCATTGAAATGATAATGCCCCTCTCTCTAAAACTACCTCAATAGATTTTTTGGGTCGTTTCTGAGTTTGATTTTAGAAGGTTCGGCAGTCTTTTTTTTTCTGACAGGAATGGGGATGGATGGTTGATGTAAGTGTATACATCAGCTTAAAAGGCCTCTGCTGGTGCTTAGTTGGGTCATGGGTGTCGCTGAGTTTTCCCTGCTGCCCGGGGTCAAGTTGGGTGACGCTCAGCCGTCCAGATGCTCACTTGGACTTGGCGTTTTCCGTGACCCAGAACTCATCATTGCAAAGGGGGTTTCGTTTGAGCCTTGCTTCGGGGCATCTGAGAAATTCCCTCCCACTCGCGTGCGTGTTGTGCTCGTGTAACTGAGTTAGGCCCGGTGCTTATCACGTTTCATCAGCCAGCAAAACCTACGCCTGATGCGTTTCCTATTCAACCCTTCTGCAGGGGAGATTTATTTTCCGATGGAGGAAAAAGGTGTGATTTTTTTTAATGCTTTATTTTTTAAATCTAAAGTGGATGAACAACATGGTGAAGGCAGAGTCCGCGGAAAAATTTTTCGTGAAATTTCTGGACATTGTTCCTGAGAACTTCTTGAATACCGTAATTGCATAACATTTTCCTCCATTGACTGAGGCATGGGGAACCTTTCAAATTTTTTTTGTAATTTGGCAAGCCCTAATACTGTAGTTTTTTCAACTCTAACCGGGTCATTTTGTAAACAAAAAATGCCCGAAAATCATTGGAGAGAAAAATAAATAAATTAAAAATCACCTGTGTTTTTTTTTTTAGAAAAAACGATCTCGTGAGAGAGAGAGCCTCGTGTTTACTATTTAATGTGATGATCATGTAATTACACTCGGATAACACCCGATGATTTCATCGAAATTGTACGTAGACATGAATAATTAGTCTTGAAGTCTTCCTAAAACAGTTTCCTAAAACAGTGGGATGTTTGCATGGAACTATCTAGCTATTAAAATTTCTAAAAAATCAGAGTTACGAACTTGAGAGTGCTGAGTATACGTTTCTTGAATTGATCTGTGATGATCAAGAAAAGTACGCTTTATTCGGGATTACTTGGCGTAATCACGTTCCGTGATGTTTCTTGTCTGCTCTTCCACATTACAGTTTTTATGTAAATGCACAATTAGGTGCTGTGATTTGAGGTCTATCGAAATGCTCGAGATAACAAGGCATTGAGCTAATCCTCGAGGAAAATTTTCAATTCATTCATCATGAACGAATTTTTTTAATGTTATATTTTTTATGATAACCGTGAACAAAGTTGAAGTCATTGTGTGAAATTTTGAAACATTTGTATGGCTTATGTGTGCGTATTCTTTTATTCAAGCAAGTCTTTATTGTTCGAGTCTCACTGTTACGTAATATATCCACTTTCACCACTATAGCTGTTCACGTCTTTTAAACCTAAAGCTTTAAAATATAGGAAAATCCATTCAGAATATGCATGATCTTGGAACAAAGTATTTCGTTACATTTTATGAGAGCATGAAGTGGTCTTTCTAAAAATTGCCTTCCCGTTCTGCTGTTTAAATTGTTTTTATTTTTTTGCATAGACTGTCAAGCAAGTGCTTCTGCAAGTTCCCGGCAGACTTCCTTTAAAACCGAGCGAACATGCGAGTTGTCCGGGCTATTCCGAACCCAGCAAGCCGCTGCGGGGCTTTTTTATATTTTCTCCCCAAACATTCCGCGTAATTTGCCGTCATTCCTTCAGCATCTTCCTTCCTTCCCGAGGCATATCTTCAAAGCTTTTATGCAATCGTAGGAAAATCATGGAGTGGGGTTTTTCCTCTGTAAGCTTCCCGTGACACGAACCTATTCAGCCCGAGGCGGAGTCGTAATTCCGTGAGAGTTTGTGCGCTGTGGGTTTTTGCAGAAAGCAGAGAAATGCATTCATGAAAAATTTTTCCTTCAACTGTCTGATTCTTTTTTTTCTTATAGTTTTTCTTTTTTTCTTTGATCCAATGCTTTCGGTGTGACGTTTTTTTTTTCCCCCATTCGAGCTGTGGTTGAGTTCTTTGAAGAAAGTTCTGGGCACTTCAATCACTCCTATATTATTCCGGATTTTCGCGCATGAGAATCATTCCCTGAGTGCAGGGTTTATTCTTGGAAGAGAACTTTACATGGTAATTTTCCCTCGAAATTGTTTGCTTGACTCTAGAAAAATTTATTGAAAAAGCGTACGGTAAATATTTTTACTAAAGTTGTTTAGAACACGATCATGATCATCGTCAGAAATATTTTCGGCGGACATGGATATGACTGCTGAATTAAAGCTAGAGAGCAAAAATGTAAATTGCATGATTCCGAAAAAATGATCTGGCGGGAATGTAGTTTGAAGACAATTCGAAAATGTTGCTTTGAATACATTTCAAATATCATATAAGTTCATTTTTTAATGGCCATGTTCTGGAAAAGAATTCATTCACTACTACTTAGTCCAGGTTAGATTTTATTCTTTTGAAAAATTGGACCAATTCAAGAAGATAAACAAGCTGTAGGTGTATAATTTTATTTATCTTTCCATGCAGTCATCTTTTTTAGAGATTTCAGTCGCATTCAGAGAAAACGGCCGCGTTTCTTTTTCCAACTGTTTTAAAGAAAATTCCAATATTTAATTGAAAACTTTGCTTTGGTTGAGGATTTAAAAAAATTGAAAGACGCACAGAAATAGGAAAGCCTTTGACTGGAGGAACCTAGTCAATATTCACGCGTGAAGCACGAACTTTTTATTCTGTGTCGATTTTCTTCAACTTTGCCTGCTGCAAATGTATAAGAATCTAATGTAAAACCATTAACTTGAGCAGCATCTTAAGAAATTTTCAATGGGTTTTAATTTTTAAATGTTTCAAGCCACCGTAAACTTAAAGAGTGTCATACAATTTTTAAATGTTCCAATGTTTTAAACTCTGTATGCCACGCCGTTTGACTGACTTTGAGATTTTATTTCAAGTAACTAGTTATTGTTTGTGGTTTAAATGAAGTGTATAATTTCGACAGTTTAAATTTCATGCTGAAACAGATCAAATATATTCTGGAAATACGGCATACTCTGTACACACACAACATTTGTCGAATGTTCACAGTTCAACAAAGAATAATCCGTACGTATTCCCATCCAGAAAGTCTTTCTAGAAACCGGTGTCATATTTTGAGCAATCCTTTCGATGATTGATTGGAACAACTCCGAAATGTATCTATCATGATTACCCTGATGTAAATGCAAGCAAATCGGTGTTCAAGCAGTGATCTTTCACAGTCTCATCGTCGAGAAATTCAATCGGGATAGAAAGAAAAATGTTTTCACCGAGCATTTCGCCTCGACGGAATCGAAAATTAAATGCGGAATCTGTTGAAAGCAGCCTGCAACCAACTCAATCCATTTCCTCTCCGTCTTCTTCCTTTGAAGTTTTTTTTTTTTTTTCTACAGGCAAGCATCTTCATCCCCGAAAACCCCCCGGGAATTTCGTTTGAATAATTCCCTTCTGCGCCGACTTCGTTAATATTCCGTACTTCTTGTGAAGGCGAGAGAGCCCAGAGGACCATGACAGCAACTCTTGCCTTCCTCCGGGCCTTTCGATGCCATAGTGTATTATTAATCAAGAGAGCAACGGAATGCGCGTGTCAGTCATTGTGTGTGTTGTAGCCTATACTGTATATATATATTTATATAAATATATGGATATATATAGGATAGAAGTCCAGAGAATTAACCTGCTGCCTCGTCGGCTTTTGCGACTGAGGCCCGTGCTTCTGACGCTCTGGAATCCGTTATTGCTCAGCAACCCGGCATCTGGGTTGGGTTCTGCAGAGAAAATATGATTGTGATCACAGCCTCGGTATTCTATGCTGAGAAAGCACGTGGTGTCTGTGCTGTCGGAGCCGAGATTGTTTGCCGTATAGTGTTTTGAATCTCTGAGTTTATATAGCGCTCCTCCGAATACGAGGCAGGAGGGTTTGCTTAATTTCCTGCCAACTTGAGAGAAATTTTAAAGACATTTCTTGAGATGTTGTTTTTATTTGGCTTTATGGGTGCTTGAATTTATTTACGCGCGTGCGAAAAAAAAAGAAAAAAAGGAGGGGTTCTGGTCAGGAATTTGCACGCCGTGAACTCAGTGGAGGATCGATGAGAGGCTCAATGAGCGTCAAAATAAATTCTGGGAAACATAATTTCGATGTAATTGTCAAACTTAGCGCACAGAGAAAATTTGTTTATATATTTGAAACATGTTTTATGGAAGCAAAGGGATTTATTGGCGTAAATTCAACAGTTGTACTGCTGCATTTATGTGTCCCTATATTTCCTTCGCTTTCCAACTGCAAAATTGTGTTCCCGTAATTTCTCACGTTTTCGAACTTATAGACTTCTGCGAAATATATTCGAAATTTTTCGATTTTTTCCTATTTTTATATGGAAGTTAATTTTTTAAAATTCTAAGCGATTTGGCGGTGATTTAAAAATATCATGGTTGCATTAAGTTGTCCCGATTTCATTCAATTTCCGATTGCATAAATGTGCTTCCGTCATTTCTCACGTTCTTTTTGAGAACCTCTGAACATATACTGTACCTTACTTCCTAATTTTCAGTGTAATTGAGGAAGAAAATAATGAGTAACAGAATATTTTTATTTTCCAGAAGACTTTCAAAAATAATTTCCGGATGCAGAATCGTATAAAAATCGGATTTTTGTGGAAAGGAAAGATTTTTGCCTGGGAAAAAAAAACGCGATGTTTGAATACAATTCTTTATTTTTTTAGATTAAATCTCGACTCACCGGTATTTTATTTTCTCTTATTTATATGAATCGTAAACATGGTACAGTATTGAGTTAAATGTTGAAATTTAATGCTGTAAATCGATGCAGAAATATGCTGCGTATATAAGCCATGCATATCATAAGCAAACATTCCTCGAAAGGGTTACTGTCATGTCAACTGAAGGATAATCTTCATGCATTTTTTCTACTTTGAGTTTGTTCTTTTCTCTTCAGGTTTCAGTTACGCTTCAAATGCGGATGGATTCGCTACTTCTCAAGAGGAAATCGTCCTAGATTTGTTTGAAGCTTTCCAGCAGTTTTTCCAGCTTTTCCCGGAGTACTACGAAAAACCCTTGTACCTCACAGGCATCTCATATGCAGGTAAAGCTCCAAAAAATTTATATTGGGCTCTTATTTATCTCCTTTAATTACCAGAGACAAGGGTTGATGAACGGTTGTAGTTGCTAGACATCGCCTCTGATAAAAAAATATGATTTTATCTTATTTATTTATTCGTGGATTTTTGTTGCCAATATGCTTCTCTAGTTTAGATGTTCTGGCTTTTTTCGCGACAAAAAAATCGTCGAACCACTGTAATTTTGATCAGTTTCACTATTAAAAAGCGATATAAATTTGGTGACGTTCTTGGACTGTTCTCTTATTATTTTCGTTGATATGCTCTTTTACCGAATAATCCAAGGCAAAAAAATGGCGTTTTTTGGTTTTGATTTCTGAAGAGAAATTTCTAATACCTTTGTTCGAAAAATGAGTACTTTCTTGAAATCGTATACATTACTGTATAAGAATCTCGGTCTGATTTAAACCAGTAGCAGAAAAGGATTCTTATTCATATAGTATGCCATCAGCAAACCCATCTTTCAGGCTTTCGTTTGACTTGTTTGAAGCTGGAATTTCAATATTTGAAAATTATAGTCCTGCGTTTATTTGAAAACTAAGAAACGCCATCCTACATTCAGAAGAATACGTATTCCGAAAATTGACTAAACTTTCTTCGAAAAATTCTTTAAATTTCTGTCTCAACGTTTATTTCATCATTGAATTTTAGTTTACTCCAAAATGTCAGGCTCTCTGGATTTTTTTTCAATTTTTTTTAATGTCATAAAAATACATTGCTTTATTTTTGCAGGAAAATATGTGCCTTGGCTGGCCGTGCGAGTTCATGATGAGAATCAGAAACCGGAAACGAGACAGTATCCGCTTGAGGGAATCGTGACAATAAACGGTTTCACTGACCCAACTTCCGCCTTCTCTGACACGGCCCAGTTTCTGTACCAACATGGACTCGTTGACCGAAACGGCGAGGCCCAAATCCAAGAAGGTGCTGAAATTCTTGCCCAAGCCACGGAACTCGAAGATTGGCTCACTGCAGTACTGGTAAATAGGATTTTTTTTACACAGAAAATATCAATGATTTTTCCCCTCAAATCAAAAAAAGTATATAAAACTAACACTTCTCTAAAAATCAGATGAATCTCGAATGCGGATGACTCGAATTCTTATTTATGGTCTATTTTGTTTGTTTGTTAGAGTTGTGTTCATGAATGTGTATGCGCACTCATTTTTATTCCTAGCAATTCTATTTTACAGAGGCCAACGTTTTTATGTCAGTGTATCTCAAATGAAAAAATTTGTCCGGCCTTTTCAGTACTTTGTCTGAGAAATTTCTAGCTGTGACGTGATTTGTGCTGAATACTAAATTCCTTTTATAAAAAATTCAAATTACATTGGTCAATCCCGTGTTGTTTGCGATCAATTTCTCATTGCTGAAAACTAAAATTCAAATGAATATCTTAAATACTGGATGGGGATTAAATTCACATATTGTTTTCAAGCTTACGACCAAAGAACTGTCATATTTCATCAGCTAGCCAGGTTTTAAATATATTCCGAATTTTTTCGAAGATTCATGAGGTTAATTTCGGCGACGAAGTCTCAAGGTAGTTCTTATTATAAAAGGATTTTTCACCCAAAGGAAATCCTTACATGAAGAGTAAATCCCTGGAGAAGGATTTTCCTTGAGAGAAAAGTCCTTCGCTCGTTTTATCATATTTTCCTTAAAAGATAACCCCCAATGAAAAATGAAATTGCAAGGAAAGCATTTTTGGAAATTTCACTTTCAATTATTCCGAAGAAAATATTTTTGATGCTATCGGATAAAGGAAAGGAATTTTCCTGAAATTGCATGATTCTCACAGTATTAGCTCGATTATTCCAGGGATTTATCTTTATTACATGCATGATAAATCGTGTTTCCATGCTGTAACTAGTTGTGCGATGCACAGTTCTGCCTTCAAATATGCAGAATAATGACAATGTTATTTTTTCAGCTGAATAAAATGAGGTCTGATCCTGCTGTAATTGGGTGCGTAGGCGTTGTCATTTATTCTTGTCCCCGATATGAGCTCAGCTCCAAGAACTGGTCCTTCAGCGTCTGTTTGCTGAGACATTCGGACGTCAACTTGATCAGACCCAATTAATTAAACCAAAGAGAATCTTATTAGATGAATTATTATGTCAGCGGGATCCAAAATGCAAGTCTCAGCGTCGTATACATTGTCTAAATCGAGGAAAGGTTCCGAAAATGGCATGCATATTTTTTGTGGCATACTTTCAATATTCATCTAAATACGTGGCTTTTTATGCCTGTCACTCATGTTCTCCAAATTTGAATCTGTCGGAAGTAATTATTCAAGTGACATTGGATTGATATTCTGTGATATCCAGTAAAGGAAATAATGAAAGACATGAGCTTGTGATTTTAAGCTTCCGTATATACGCATCTGCCAGACGATTTGATTTATGGAACCTGTCGCTATCATGAGTTCAAATTATTTAATTGCGGATTTCGCATTGAAGAAGCCCTTTCCAAATACCTGTATGCGAATTAATAGACGTGTTCTTAACTCATTATACAGCAGATGGGCTGATTGCACGCCACTGAATATTTCTCTGCATTGCGCTTTTTGTAGAAATCCCGTATACAGTATATATTTTTATCATTGACGGATGGATGCAGCATTTCCTGGCTAAATCTGTTCAAGCATAAGTCTAGTCTTCGAAAAATGAATAAAAAGCACCTGTAAAATGAACTTTACGTATCAGAGGTAATTGAGATCAAGTGTCATATAACTTTTGCAAATTATGTCAGCATCTTGAGCTTTTTTTTTTTACTTTTATCATGATAAATCTAGAATTAAATTGCTGTATCTCATTTCCTGATTTTTAATATGGCCATAAGAGGTGGTATTTTGTTGATCTCTTTATTTCTTCAATCTTGTTTTATTATTGGTTATCTAAATATTTATGTGAAAGACTCAATTTTTGGCCCTATAGGTGCAAGTAAAATGCATATAATTGACGGTTTGGTTGATACGTTGATGACTTTGAACAACCTCTAGGTGAATTTGTTTCGATTTGCTTTCAAAATTCTACTTCGAGTTTTCTTGATGGACGAAGAAAAACGTATCGAAAAAATGGCACAAGGATATTACTTTCCTTGTGGGGAAGAAAGATTTTCATCTTTCAATATGAAACTCCGCTGAAGGCTTCGAACAGTTCAATTTTTGATAGAGCATTTTGATTTTGCAGAATTGGTCAATTTTTCGTAATAGATTCGTGATTTTTTTTAAATATGATCCACAGTATCAATCGTAAGGGGCTCTCATCTTTAACGCGATTTTTCGGTTCGTTATTTCTGATAGATAATCGCAGATTTCGGAAACAATGAGACGGGTCTACTCAATAATCTGACGGGTTACACTCAAATGTACAATGTGGCCGATCCGTACGATCAAGGGTTGCCGCCGGGAACCTGGGAAATTTACCCGGAATTCGTGAACCAGCCGAAAATCAGGGACGCCATTCATGTCGGACAAACTCCTTTCGGGGGCGGCTACGATGTGCAAGCCTCCTTGCTTCTGGATTTTCCTCAATCAGCCAAAAATAAGCTGGTGACCATTCTCAACAACAATTACAAGGTCTGCAAGAAACTTTTTTGCTAGTTTTTTTTTTATGTGGTGCAGATACTTCATAGGTTGCGTCAGACATTCCGAAAGAGCCAAAAAAAGTAGCTTTCTTTTCCAATCGCTGAGAGCCATTTTTTTTTAATGCTAACATTTTGAAAGTTTTTGATGCAAATACTGTATTTTTTTAAACTTTAAATCAATGAGAACAAATGTTTTGTGCAATCTGTTAAATTGTCATGTTTTTGTCTCCATAAAGTTTGAATAGTTTCAATCTTTTCTTATATGAATCGAAAGATTTGCGTGTCTGCATGAATCGACGTGTTTAATGATTAGAAAATGAAAACACATTTTTTAAATTTCTTTAGTTGTCACATGATCGTACACTGATCTCGGTTTGCGCAATGTTTACTTCAATTTACTGCATTTACTTGAACTTTTTGCAACAAAGCCATTCTCTGAGACTAAAAAAACCGTCGTCGTATTGAAAAAATTCATAAAAAAGATTTTTATACAAAGCAGAGCAGAGAACGTGAAAAATATTTTTTGCAAACAAAAATTGTACTTGGAAATGACATTCTTTATACTACATGCCAGGTGGACGAATCTCTCCCTCTCTTGTCTACAAAAATCGGGTCTACAACGATTTTATCTTTATAACGAATATTTTTGATCCCATGTAGGAATATTTCCCCATGTTATAGAGGTTCTCTGCGACGATAATTCTCTCTACAAGGATTTTTTTGCTGGTCCCTTCAATTTCATTGTACTGTAGAAAGTCCGCCTGCATACTATTGGATAAACTTTGATGGCCACTTTAATTCAAGGTTATTAGTAATTTTATGGCGGTTGAGGTTAAGCTGGTAATAAATGAATACGCAGGATTTGAAGCAATGGACTCTGCTCAAATTTGCCGAAATGTAATACAGTACAGTACCAAGAGAGAGAGAGAGAGCAACTGTTATTCGCATGATTCTTCTTCTCCAGTAGCGCCAAAAATTAGAGGTGCGTCTCATGCTCGAATGTAAAAACTGTACGATATTTCCATTTTATTGTGCAGGTATTGTTGCTGAATGGAGCCATTGACTTGGTGTTGGGGCCGAGAACGTGTACCTCGCTGCTGAACTCCAGCAATGACTGGCGAGACCTGGATCTGTACCAGCAGTCCAAGCAGGAGATTCTCAAAGACGAGACGGGCTCTGTTGTCGGATATTTGACAAAAGTGCGCAACATGTGGCAGGCCAAAGTTCTGGGTGGCACGCACTACGCACCCGCCAATGTCCCGGGCCCCGTTTACTCAATTCTCAAAGAATTCATCGCAGCATCCAGCATTGGTCGTTAGCAAAATGATCGATTATCGCTACTTTTGGGGTGAATTTAAGTTGATGATTGTCCGGCGCGATGACGAGGGACGAAAGGATTGTGTTAGTGACGAGCAGCATTGCTGTAACGGTGAACCTCGAAGAAAATAAAATAAATGTATTCGGAGCACGATTCAAGAAAAGTGGAGTCAAAGTTCTCCAATTTATTTTTTTTTTTTCACCAGGATGTTTCGTGAAAATTTTATCAACTCATCACTTCTCATAGATGTCACCAATTTTTTTCATCAACAGGGATTCATGAGGGAATATTTCATCAATTGTTTAGGTGTATTGCTTTCCTCCATGTTGAGGTTTTTTTCTGAATCGACATAGAAGTCATTTTCACAGACAAATACAGGTGGTCTCTCTCTCTCTCTCTCTCTCTCTCTCTTTTTTAGAAACACGACTGTTGATTCTTTGGAATATATTGCTGTCTGAAAACCCATTTCCTTTGTCGTAAGCTTGAAAACAATATGTGAATTTAATCCCCATCCAGTATTTAAGATATTCATTTGAATTTTAGTTTTCAGCAATGAGAAATTGATCCCAAACAACAAAGTTCAAGGGTTCAGTTCAAAAAAATTTCGCATAAAGAGAATTCTCTACTAACATAAAGAGAGAACCCTATTTGTCCGAGAAAAAAAGATTCGCTTCCCAGATCAAGTCGTAAACAAAATCTTTGTAGAGATGTGTTATAGTTCCTAGTTTCTTTTTTTAGAATTTTTGCTTCAACGACCGGATATATAAACAGAATACAAGCATCAAGGAATTCAAGCAGGACTGAGAGAAAATTAAGTTGAGTTGGCACCGTTTTCTGATCCTTGAATTTACAGGACATTTAAATGGTCTCATAGTTGATGAAGATCAAATAACTTGTTTTCAGGCGTATCGTGAATCTGATCACCATGTTTCAATCACATTATATAGTGTACAATAAGTACAATATTCCGATTCCGTCAGCTTTTCTGTTTAAAATGCAGAACGGGAAGGTTTCTCTTTAAATTGTCAATTATGAGCGAGCAAGCTTTTGGCAATACTGTACATTTGTGCTGAACTCGATGGAATTACTGCGTGAATTGACAAGACACTTTAAAAAGTCTTGTGATTGATATGTGATCGTATATCACATTGTGATTGGTATCAGAAGCCTAAAAACCTTCACGTGAAGATATATTCGTGCGTACAGTGTTGGGAAACCGCCGCACACCGAACAATGCTAAAATTAAATTAAAATGAATTATAAAAAAACCGCGAAAATCTTATAAGAGTTCCAACCCTCAAAGGGAAGGAACTCACCAAGGACAACAGCAATTCAGCAAAAGAAAACCAGAAACCGATTTCCGTTTCCCCCCAATTTCACCGGAGAACAAATTTAACAAAGCCAATACTAATCCAACCTTTGAACTGTGCACATTTGCCAAAATCGCGAAATCTACGAATTTTAGTGGAGTTCTGTTGAGTGTTGTATTGTTGAAAAACTTACTATCTGTGTGCTATCTTTGTGGGACAAATTTCTTGAAATATATTTCTAATTTAAATCAGGGAAACCGAAATAAGGTTCCCTGGCCTAGTCCCAGGCTGATTCTGTTTTTTATTTCAATATTTCTTAAAACTTTACTAACAAATTGATCCACTTGCAAAAACTAACATATTTATGTTAGGTAAGTTCTTCCCTAACATACATTATACTCCTTGTTCTATGCACTGCTATACTTCTTGTTTTTGAAACTTAGATAAGTAGTTCAAAAAATCAAATACTCAAGACCTGAATGTTCAGGCCGACTCATACATTATTCACTCTCTCACAGAAAAATAACGGCGTATAGCCATTGTTTAAAATTTTCTACCGTAAATGGGATTCAGGAAGGGCATTTCCGGAATACAATTATTAAGCACCCTCTTTTACGCGTGCTTCAAAGAACCTCGCAATTGATTTATAATATTGTACTTTGAAAAATCTGTAAAAATAAAAAAAATAAAAAGCGCTTACAGTACAAATGAATCGTTTTGCTTCATGTTTTGAAATTCTAATCTTTTATCCGCCTTTCATGAATTTCTACATCAAATTCAAGAAAACCCATGCACGAGGAAATCATTTGCTTGAATGAAATCAGTGTGGGAATATATTGTATATAGTCCTTAGGTTTATTACCACTTTCCAGGGACGACATCTATTCATCGTTTCCCAAGAAAACGAAGGTTCCATTGAACTGTACTGTGATTCCGAATGCGAAAAGTATTTCTGCAATTTCAACGAAGAAAACCTAGGTGAAAGATTCCATGTAAGTTTTGCAGATGACTAGGATATTCCATTTTCTGCTTGAATGGTTTCCAAGCGTGAGCTGAGAAATTTGTATGGTACTGTACATCGGATGAGCGAAGCACTCGGATCATCTGGATGAATAATGGAAGCTCGACCTGCTCGTTTTTGGGCGAGGCGACTTGACACCAGCTCCACCCATCAAGAATGCAATATCTGGGACAATGAAGCCTGCACTGGTGAGGGGCACTCACAAAGTTCATACAGTCAACCTCAATATGCTGCCACCATTTCTTTATGAAGTTTGCCGCAGCTGATTAAGGTAGTTGATGGTTTACCAGAGGAGATAAAATACTGTACTGTACTGTAATATGAAAACTAATTGTATTGAGAAAAAATTCCTTATCTTCTAAAAAAAAATCAAAATAACCCTGGAATGTGTAAATGATATCTACCTAATCTACCTAACAGTCCTAGTTTAAAGACTTGTATTTTTTGTAGATAACACACTGGTCAAGATTTTTTTGGAATGGCGTGCACAAAGCTTCTCTGCACGGAGATCTGCTTGGGTCAGCAATTTGAATGTGAGTGTCAAAATCATCCAAAATTTGGAAATCAGGAAAGGAAGAGTTGAAGGACACGGATTAGAAATCTATTCAGAAATGTCCTTGCTGGGCCTGGGAACCAAACTCGGGTTTGGTTCTCAGGCTCCAGCAGAAGCTGCTAAATTTTCTAAAGATTTTACAAAACAGAAGGGTAATTTAACTTAATCTGGCGCTGACTTGTTGGCATACCAAAGTTTTTTCCAACTTTTGCCACAGAAGGGCTGGCAAGGTTTCCAATGCTTTTATCAATATGGAGGGTTTGTTTTTATAAATAAATTGGTGGTTGTCAAGGTTATAATGGCTTGGGGGACATCTTACCATGGTTTGACTGTTTTCATACCTCAAGAAGCAAAAGACAATATTTATTATGTGGTATGATTCTTTTTGCTTGATCCCTCGCCACAATTTATCCCATCTATCCAGGGTGCGATTATTTCTAGTCATTCCTGCTTTCATATTCAGGGGTGAAATATGTCACCCACCCTGGAGAATAGGGATGGCTGGATTTCGTCGCAAATGTCATTCGATATTTCAAGTCATAGCGTAATGCATGTTTTCCAAGAATTTTAAAGCAAGAGTGATAATTCGGGAAGGTTTTTCGTTTCACTCTCGTGTTTTTTAAGGCTGATGTGTGGGGGAAAAGCAAGGGATTTCCGAACGATGAAAGCAGAGATGAGAAAAGTCGTGAGTGCGAGTGAATGACTTCACTGGAAATCCTCTTGCATAATTTGCCCGCTGATGCTGACGTGGATCCTGTTCAAGACCCTGCAGCTGAACATTTTGCAACTCCGTTGTGTTGATATATTTCCGACCTGCTATTGTATATAGCTGCTGAGAAATTTCCCGTTTCTGATTAAATCTAGAGCCGTTGTAAGTGTAAACTCCCGAAACCAGGCGCGGCATAACTTGTTTTCCTCGAAAGATTATTCCAACAACAACAACAAAATCCGGGTTCCGTCGTATTTTGCTCAGAACCGGCAGCAGCCAGATCCTGTGCGTTACCAGCATTCGTACCTGGAACTGTCACTTCTTATTTCTGGGAGAATATCCACACGCCTTCTCTCAAACTAATACGACAAATGGAAGCTGGACAGGAAATCAATTGATGTCTTCAGGAAACAGATTTCCTAAGAGACGGCCGAGGAAAATCCGTGCGTGTAGCGGATGAAAGGTGACTTTTGGAGATGGCACACACATATTGTTTGCTTCAACAAATAAAAAAGGAGAGCAGAGAGAATCACAGGCACATAAATAGTTTTCAAGGTGGAGAAGAAAATATTATTCTTTGAGAAACAAATTGTCAATCGTTCACCGAATAAAACATTTTAGGTTACCCGACTATTTTTTCCGGAGCTCCAGTGTTGAATTCCCAATACCTTAAAAAGTTTATACTCGACCAGGAAAAAGGAAATGGGTTTTCAGACAGCAATATATTCCAAAGAATCAACAGTCGTGTTTCTAAAAAAAAGAGAATCGAAATCAAATTAATTCAATTCTATTTTTGGATCATATGCCGTACTTGATGCATGTTTTAACTTCATTGGTACCCCTGCCTGTTTTGGTCCCCTGTGCTTTGAAAAATCTCCACATATTCTTGACAAACAGTTGTATTTACAATTTTCTCCCTTTCAGGAAAATCTAAACGTCATGCATTTCCTCCCAGTTCATTCCAAGCATCAGTTAGCAAAATGGTTAGGTATGTTTTTATTAATGGCAATTGGTGGAACATCCAGTTGAGTTCAACACTTCAAGAATACAGTTCTGAATTTCAGAAAAAAACATCAATTCCTGCAATATATCATAGGATCCAGACTTCCATGTCTTTGGTTGAGGTTGGAATGCTGTTGCTGAGCTGCTGTGATGCAAAAGGTACATACTGGCATTGGTTCTGTCTGTCCAGGATGTCCTGCAGTCATCTGCTGAGATTTCCGCAAACATGGCTCCTCAACTGAACCTAGTAGCGAAAAAAGAACCGTGCTTTATAATTAACATTTGGAGAAAATGAGCTCATCAGGACATACAGACAGCAGAATACCATGTAGCAACATTCCAAGAAAAAAGGTGGGGTCACTGGACATTAAGGCAACAACAACTTTGAAATTACAGTACTGTATACCAGAAATGTACTATACAGCAGCTATTGCAAAGCATTGACATATTTCAAGTCCTTTTCAAGGAAAAGATCATCTGTGCTAGCTTCTGCTAATTTACAGTTCCCAGCTGATTTTTCCATCAATAGTATTGATCTCAATTTGTTGCTGAAGCAGAACGCACTTGCCACTTAGTAAT